GTTAACATTGAAATATTTTATTGTTTTCCGTAGTTGTCGCCGTTTTGTAAGTAGTTGGACAGGTAGTTCCATATGCGAGCAGCTTCATAGCAGTGTTTATCGAAATGGTATATTGTTGCGATTTACGAAATGTAAATGTTGTCATTTCCATGTCTTTAATAATTTAAAAGCAGTATACATACATAGGACGTTCACAAATATTTCAAACCGTAGTCTGTCACTACAAGATGTAAACGATTGTTGATTGAGTAGGTGTATTTCAATAAACTGTCCGACCTGGCAACTATAACTGACAGACTAACGTTTCTCTAAAGAGATACTATAGACCCAAACTATATTTATATCACAACAATTATGAAACAAGTTTTCTAACTTCAATTAATCGCTCTTGTTGGCCCGGATGGATGTGTCTTAATGTAGGAGAAAATCTGAGTACCCAGAAAACCCCATGTTGGAGAGCAGGTGATCCCATAACTTTTAACGTCCGATCTTGGAAAGGTATTGTCTCCGGGTTTCCAGTTCACCTCACGTTAAGACCCCCATCCTCGTAGATGACACGCCTTGCCAAACCGGGTATATAGTGTTCGGGTCTATATATCGTCTCTATGAATCAGTCTAGACTACTCGATGTACTATACCTCCCTACCTAGCAACTAGACAGACTAACGTTTCTTTATTTATTGGACATCTCAGCAATACATATATAAACACTGTTAGAGTATGAATCAGTCTAGACGCCCTTGAATGTGCCAATAATGTAGAGACCGTAGCCAGTAGTCCTGTTCAATTACGAAAGGATTGGTCAGCTATGTCCACTAATGACCCTCATTAGACTGGTCAGTCCTGGTCAGTCCGCTGATGTATGTATTGTTTGTAGAGTAAGAGCTGGCGTGACGTCACGGGTGAATTAATTCTCGCCGAAACTGTATAGTTTCCGTGTTTGACTTTGTTTCTGACACGCTATAAACCCATTCCATATCCTATACAATTACACACTTCTAACGTCTAATCGGATATCCTATACATATCGGTCAGATCTCTAACTCGAGCACTGGCACGAAATTCTGACATAATTATATGACACCGTTCAATGACTTGTAGGATTCTATTTATATTTAAATCATTTTCTTTTTTCTTTTCTTAATTAGTAATCAACAAACTGAAAATGAGTGCATGTACATTGTGACATGAACTCTCACGTGCCCATGTGCTGGTGAAAAGTGACGTGCACTGCAATCACCATGATGAACAATTAACGACTTAGTTAATAAGCTTGCCATGTGACGAGGATGCTATATGGCTGAATGTCTAAACTGATAGCAATTTTATATCGTCAGTTAGATATGTGCATCAACATCGAAGTGAATCGTATGATAGTCAAAATGCGTACGGCTTTATGTAGAACAAACGTAGGAAAAACGCATCGTAGGAGTTACTTCAAGTGTTATAAAGAACGTTCGTTCATAAGAAGTGCGGTGTGTCTGTGAGTAACTGATTGTCATTCCAGCATGACAGTTGAAATATAAGTCTTTTCATTTTATGAGTATAGTCTATAGAAACAATACCATACCTGAGAAATGCATGAAAGAGCGTAAACAACCTTCGGACAGCCTATAAAATTATTCAATATATCAGTAGTAACCGTATCATACACAAGTAACTAATGGGTAGTCTAGTCTTTTCAAGAAAATAAATACTCGAAAAGGGAAATATTCGAATCTTAATCGGCTAATTTGGAATTAAATATGAAACATCTAACGATGTAAAATGAGACAGTTGTGAATTCTGTTTGTTGTGTTGCAGCACTGACTTTGTACTTACACTGAACTATTAGTAAAGCAACAGCCTACTAATTACTATGGACACAACCTATAAAGAACAACAGAACAAGCATAACGTGTTTCTAAAGTACTTCATTAATTTGCACATGACTCAGTTTTTCTGTAGAATTTGACCTTGCATCGATTTGGCATCAATAAGACAGCCAACCCAATTGTCTTACGCCAAGATGGGGTACATGTACGCCATGTTGGCAGTATCATGTGAAAGGTATTTATGCGTCACTTGCAGTAGTAACATTTATTGTTATTCTTCCGAATCTTTGAGAGTATTCCAGATCCCGGGATGGGGGCGTTGTTAACAGCATCAATGTCCTCGGAAGGCATCGGACGACAAACATGTCCTATTCCCCAAAGCACGTGAGAATGAAACTTTACAAAGGCTTGGGTTGAAAGGAATTGAAATAAAAACTATCTGATTAAAATATCCGATATCGACACATTCAACTTTGATATGACAAATTTATTCATTAAAACGCGTGGTTTTATCATACATCTTCAGACTATCATAGAATATGCATAACGTTTTTGAATTGTATACACAACAAATTCAAACGATAAACGAGGACCTATGTTGACTCATTCTCTGCCTGTGCCTTTACCTAACGGACTACGCAACAAATAGCCCAGCTGATTAAATATGATCAAATCTCACCACTAAATGACCTTCACGTCTTCCACAAAAGGTATTAAGGTACAGCACTACCAAGCTACACTGGTGTAGGGGGCTCGGCAATATTTACCATGCATTATTAACGACTGCATGTCTAATTCGTGTTTGTAAACAGTATCGTTCTTCCCTAGCGATGGGTCGTTTTATGGTTGTTTTTCTGACAATCAGAACCGTATCGGAATCATTAAGTTATTGATAGGTGTTTCCGATAATTAGACCGACCACCCTGTATGCCTTCTATCGACCAGTATTAAATAACGTTTTATTTCCATATGTAGTTCCTAATATAAAACGTGGCTTTTAATCTGCAACTTGATAGTGTGTCTCCGACATCCCTAATAACGTTGAATTAATCGATGCATGCATGTCCGGTGCACTGAGTGCGTTGTTGCTTCTGTTTAATAAATGAGAAATATATATCACAGAGAAAAGGTGAAATCAACTACATAAGCATTCCTTTGATATTGTCATCTATGTATCCGCCACTAATAATCTAACCGGAAAATGTGAAAGCTATGCACTCCAGACTTCGCTGATTTTACGAAAAACATAAAATGCGAATCATATTATTAAATTCCTGTTTTCTAGTGTTTAGTAGACCTGTACTGTTCATGCTTGCTAATGAACCTTAGGTATCTATTTGCAAGCTAAATAGTGTGACAACGATGGTATATTGTAGCTATAACACCAGTTGCAAGGTTGTGTACCAGTAATTATGCTTTCGGTATAAAACATATGTCACACGTATTACTAAGTTAAGATCAGTTTTCATCTATACAATATTCTCTCCGTTTGAGATATGTTTTAACCGGTATACAGATTGAGATAGATGATACACAGTTGTAATTAAATCAAAATCAGTTTTGATCTCAGTAATATTCTCTCCCTCTGATATATGTATTAAGCTGCATACAGAAAAATGATGTGTCGCACGTCATCTGGTAGTTACTAAAATATCTGTACAATGATGTACACTCTACCCAAATAAGCCATGCGTCCTCACTCGCTTTCATCTCAGGTTATACTCGGACAAGACATCTAACTAGAGTTCTTCCTCGTGGAATGGTCTTGTCTCAGCACTTAATTCTACGAAGCAATTAGGAATCAATATCGACACGCGCGCAGTTTGGTTTGAGCATTCCTCGTGAGCCTTTTCGAGTGTCAATCTATTTACATTTGTCTTCTACAAATATCTGCTTGATAATCAAATCAGCGCGCGTCGCGATATGACAAACGTTTAACGTAGGTACGCGTACACTGCTGATGTCAACTTCATGGGCTTTCACCTTCAAGATAGCCTCGAGGCCGAGGCTCCAGCATCATAGCAAAGGTGACCTGTCATCCTCAGTTAATGTATTTACATGTCTGTGGTATATTTATTCAGCTATATCACTCCTTTATTCGTGTATCATGTTTCATGATTCTTGCATACGGCTTCATAAAGATTTGGTACACACATGTCATTGGGTATACGGCATGTACAGTGGTTTATGACATTCAGATGCAAACATCAGGGTTGGTATCTGGGGTTTCATGGACTGTGCTCGACCCGTTTGTACAGTCCACGTATCTTTTGATGTTCATCCGATCCCGTGTTGTTTTAGCGCAAGTTCCCTCGATCCACCTAGACCCTACAGCACCAGTTATTATTACTTCCACCAGATACACTAACGTCGGCCGCACTGGCTATGTCACACAAAGGACAACCATCAATTCGAGCAACATTCATTTGTTTACATATGACGAAAATGGAAATTGATTTTTGTAAAATTAATTAATGACTTTTCTGAATTTGACAAACAAACCGATCGATGTATCGATTGACGACGTTGACGTTTGTTTAGTTACACATGTCTGAGCCCTTAAGAGTTCACCATCTGTTACTTACTTGCTACACATGCTGTCGTTCTTAAGTCTTTATTTACGTATTAGGGGGATTTAGTTTTACAACTAATCCTAATTTAGTATAACAATGTTTGAAAGAATACGAAACCTGTTGCGCCAGGTTTAGCAGTGAATCCATTCCACTAAGCACCATTTCACAACAACGCGCATTGCGTTCTTTAACTGTGTCGTGGGTCTTGCGGCTATAGTTCCTGTAAGGAAATAAACAACACAAATTGAATAATAAAATATAACATAAATGTGGGTTTCTCAAACAGCCTTTCGTTCATTGTTATAATAATAAATGCATTTACACTAATTAGGTCAAATAAACAGAAGAAATGCTTGCCAAAAAGTCCCGTGGACTTCAATATATCCGATTTAAAACTTGGAAATAACATACAAATATTAAGTAAATATTTGGAGTGTGTTCTCATATTTAAACATGTACGCATACACAGCGCACACGGAGGGGCGTCCTCACATGACCTCAGCTGTTGATGGTCATTAAACGCTATATACAAATAACCAAACACTTGTGCTAAAGCTTCTGTCAACTTTCTTCGTTGGATACTGTGGAGTGTCGGTACATCCATGTGATCGTAGATTACAGCTCGCGCGCGTTTGTTACATATTTACCTCCATGAAATATGTATTGTGGACCCCGTAAACATGTATAGTGCCGACCCCGTTTACAGCCTCGCACGATCGCTGGAGCGTGCCAGTGAAAGTCATTTCGACACAGCATCAGCAGCGCAAGCAGGATGTCCGGCGCGAACTATCCAATGGGTTAAAACTCGTTTGAACACAACACGTGCACTAGTGTACATTGTAACACGTCGCGCGGTTAATTCAAGTGCTCGTGCTGTATTGTTTCCATGTACTACTAAACAGACAGTAGTGTGTCATACATATTGCTTCAATGAAACCATGTACTAGTATTAACAACGCAAATCGAACGTGGAGCCGGGGCTATTGATTGTGTCGATTTTTCATTTGATATATCAACACTTCAGGACAACGTGACCATAGCGTAGGTCTACATTGTACTTACCTCATCAAACCAGCATACTGGACACTAGTCAGACGCGTAAACGTGCTCATATGTGTCGGATAAGTATGTGATGTTGTGTGGATAAAATACAAAGTATTGACAGTTGTATATTACGGGTCCTCAGACATATCGCTGACCTGCACTGCACCGTAAGTACTATTACGTTTTTTGATACTTTTGAAACAATATTAACCTGCCATTATCAATAAAATAAGCACAAATATATATCATAATCCGTTTACCTAAGCTTATATACACGTTGGTTATATTTGTTTCTAAACTGTATTATTGAACATCTTCAGTAACAGTTTTCAGCACTTTCATCATTACAGACGGAGTTGTAACAGTCGATCACTTTATAAAACAATTGAATAACGAAATGTTTTGAAAAGAAAGGATGATTACTATAATTGTGATATCGACAGCGACACAGGGTGGACAAACATTATTTGAAGCATATATCAATAAGCAGTTACCCTTTCCTCACGCTATAGGACGCTGCTATAAATGTAGGTGCATATTATTTTTCATTAACACTTGAAATCATTTTAAGACTTTTTCTTTTTTCCCACGGAGGCAGTTACTCAGAATAGTAGTATTCAATGTCAGTTTCTATCGCTGACATGGCGGATGAATGCAGTTTTCAAAATAACAATTCAAAATACGTCTTGACATTTGTGATGGTCAGCTCTGTAGTTTTCCTTTCTTGTTAAAGTTTAGTCCCTCGCTTAACATCGATGTGACGTTTACAGTCTGTTCTAAAAATTGGTTTGTTTCTCGTTGTTTGTTTGTCAGCTCATTGTTAACACAAACAGGAAGTCACTGTATTAAACGTGGCGACTGCTTTGTTTCATATATTTATTGGTTTTGGTACAGTCGTCGTGATGATTTATTTTTATACCTCGTGCGATGTATGTCATTTGCAACGAACTATTAATCATCAAATGCAGCAACCATGTAATATGCATTACAAGTATATACACACATGTCACATGTTAATTAAATGGCACAGTTTTGATAAAAATCGGCTATGTGTTTAATGTTTGATGCATAGATATTAAAACAATATGCAATATCCAAACATATGTTGACCCTGCCTGAAATACTAGATACACTATATTTACTGGTGAGGACATACAAAATGTAGGGTTTACGTATTCAAGTACTGATGAACGTGGTTCTTGAGGAAGAAATAGTTCCTGTTTAATAAAAGCAGTCGTGTGTGAGAACTCAAAGGTTACCAGTAACCCAGGGTTATATTCGCTTTACTGTCAAAAATAATCGTTTTGAAGGACGATTTTTATTTATCAATGCATACAAAAATGAACAACGCAGATATATTACACAGGTCAGAATGTCTACGAGAATAAACACTCACAACACATCATATCAAAACATCTGACACGGACAAAATGACATATTATACTCATTAATTCTGTTATAAACCCGTACCTTATTCTCTGTTAGTCAAAAACATGAAATTAATATGTCTTAGAATGCATCTTGTTTCTATGATAATAGTTCACATGCTTTGTCCTGCTAAATATCAGCTTTCTTCATTAAACAAGTCCTGTTACGTCACCCTCATCTTTTTTTTCTATTGCACTATGTACAAACTAGATTATAAGTATTTTCTTTTAAGAAATGGCTGTGAAAATACACGCTTTCATACATGTTTAAATGCTTTGCCTATGAATTGGAATGTTTTAGGGGCCAGGTTATTAAGAAAATGAATGAAATTATAATACAAGTTGATTATTAATTGACAAATCTGTCAAAAGGTGAACATTGGTAATGCTACGTTAGCTGCAAGGTGCATTCATTATTTTTTTCTTTTCCCGTATAACTTTTTCCTTCCTTACGATTACCATGAAACAATGCTATGCTATTGTGCGATATTAATGTCTACACTTTTTAGAATAATCCTTAGCATGTCCTGAAGTTTTTGTTAAAAATGCGGTTTTCACTTTGAGCACGTGGCTTTCTTTCAACATGGCTTGGACTGACGTGTTGAAAGTCGTCGATGAAGCGAACCACGCTTTTTCTCCCAAAACACTTTTGCGTAAACCTGAATATTTTCACCGGTACATGTATCAGTTAAGAAATTTGATCTTTTCTGAGTTTGCTGCTCTTTCTGGTGGACACCTTGTTATTTTCACGGTTTTTAACCATCATTACTCTCAACACTCCTCCCTCGATAACCAGTCGATATTTAAGTGTCAGTGACTCATTCACCCGTACATACCTAAAATTGGTGTTCGGCAACCATGATACATTTATAGATTTAATTTGGGTTTCACTCGTGCAGTGCCCTTGGTCAAACGAACAGAGAGGTGATAATAGCAACACCGAGTGGGAAGGTGACCAGCTGTCTCCCGGTAAATTATTGTGTCCAGTATTGCGTACTTAACACCAGAAGTGTAAAGTAATCGAACTTCGACACTCTACACCAGCTGACTACTCCCATGCCAACAAATACTAACAAACATGTTTACCCCCAACGACTTTGTCCTCGATATCGTTATAACAAACACAAGAAACAATGTCTGGCATATAGTATTTATTTCGCATCAAAATATTTCAGTACTGCAAATACTATATTACTGAACGAGTATTTTTTGAATTCATAGACTGAATATATCTCATATTTCACAAATCTGTTTATTTCTTGTCTCTCCGGTTTCATATTGTACCCGTATCAAGTTTCGGTTGGGTTTGTTGATATGTTTTATTATTTAAACACAATGTTCCAGACAATTGAGCAGGTTTGCTGAATCATGTATGTTGTATAGCATGTAATTATTATAATGATAATAAATATTGACTGCAAGGAGGTATAAACCTGTTGATCTTATATTATCAAACTACAAACACGCTAGACATCCGACTATATAATATGATCTTATCGTACACAAACGAGACAAAAATGTATCATTTTCTGCTAATACTTCAGTGAAAGGTGAATAGGAGAACAACTTCTCTGGTCAGTTTCTGACTGTGTGGGGGTAATTATATGTACAATGTAATAAGCTAGACATAGTTTACCTCCAACTGACAATGTAAATCCCTGTTGGCAAGATTTTTACCAAGTGTCGGGGATTATAGGGTACCAAGGTTAAAGCCGTGGGCGTTCTAATTTTAATATTGAAGCATTTCATTAGTATCAGAACGATATATAAATTTAAAAACGTGTAGTTGCTTATTTATTTAGACTGCGATGTCTTTCGGGAGAGTCTTGCATTTGTCACTGGCAAATTGTCGAGGTGCCGTATGCCAGCCGTTTTATTCAACGGACATTCAGTGGTGATGTTTACCGGTGAAACAGTTTTGTTTTAACACTTCCCTGTTGAATAGCATATAGTACTGAGCGAAGCACTTGTTTTATCTGTAATTTAGTATTGTACATTAACGCGCTTTACATAACCTTGCTATAAGTTTTATTCAACAGAGGTAAAGCTGTTCTGATATACATCTATACTCGCTGTTATACATGGATTTGCTCATTAACAGAATGTGCATGTCTTTGATATACGTACCGTGAATACATGCAATTTAACCTTTATCGTTTATGTAACTATATATTTGTGCCAATTTTCTTACATTACTGCAAACTGTATCAATTATAAATTTGAAGATTTCTGCTTACACATCTTAAATATCATTTTATACTCAAACTCTAAAACAATTCAATTAGTGAAAACTTAGAATTATGATGTGTTTTTGTTTTTTGATTTTAATGTTTCGTTTTGAACGTTGAAACGATCAAGAATAGTCGTTCTGTCCTACCGTAAAGTCATAACTCCACTGGGGATTGTAAGGAAGTATGCGTTGTAACGCTATGTATCATCATCATCATCATCTACCTAGACAGGAGCTGTATATATCATAGTTAAGATTTAAAAGTAAAATAGGTACAAAATATCGCATCGTTAATACACAAGGTCACGATCTGAACTCAACGTCAATAGACACATGCTTAATCAGAAAAAAATCAAAGCAAGAATCTATTCTGGAAAAACTGATACGCAGTATCAACGCCAGAATAGCAAATCTGCTGTGGCATGTGGACACTTAAGGTGTATTTATAGCTGAAAACACACAGACTGTTAAGTTAGTTGTCAATTTATTTGTTTATTTACAATATCTTTCACTAGTCTTGATACAGCATCATTATCCAGGAATGCTTGGAGTCTTTATGCTATTGGAGATTTGAGTTTGAATTGTTTGGAACGTCTATTAACAAACTGCCTGCTGATGTTTGTTATACTATTCAGAACAGACATTTCCATTCGGTGTTTTTATATTGGAATTATATTACATTACTTAGTTCAGATATGACTAATGTTGCTGGACTGACCTGGTTAACGGGTAAGCCACAGATCATTATCAAAGGGGAATTGTTTACATTTTATAGATCTATATACAATATCATTGTACAACTGTCGGGACCGTTTGTCTATTGTATATATATAAAGCTCGTTCTCTGTACATTTGTACAGCATTGTCTCTGTATGTCATACAAATGAAAAAGGAAAAATATATGTATGATAAGCAATGTGACCGTACTTGGCATCTTTTGAGCTGATCAATGCTCTACTGACAATATACAGTGTTGCAACTTTAGCATTAAGGCTGGGTACATACTTAGATACAGATGAATATAAGGAAACAATGAGAAAAATAACAACAGTTTGCTGCCGGGACGTTCTAAATTTCATGAGTATATGTTAGAATATGTGTTATTAAATTTCCGAGGAGAACATAGTCTGCTGAAGTTTCACTGTCGCACGGTAAGACATTTGTAGATAGGATGGAAACACTTAAACTGATAAATTAGTATATTATATGCCAAAACATCAGAACAACTGATACAATCTTATGATATATACGAAAAGAACCGGAGTACACACACATTTATATAATATCATGCTATTAACCGGAAGTATCAAGTTATTCATGTAATACTATGATATTATCCAGAGTAAAAACTTTTTCACTAAAAAATAATATTTACATGTATCACTAACAATAGAAATGAAAGTAGGAATCAACATTGACATTAAAAATGCCATCAGCTACGGTTTTTGATGTGTTTCAACTGACAATACACGATTCTTAAACAAATATCGGTGTGCTTGTCGTAACGTTT